CCCTGCCCTGGGACTGCATGGCCATGAACAGGAGAGATCTCCTGGAGGGAGGATGGGCTGTGGGCAAGATAAAGAACACTGCAACAGCTGGGTGAACAGCTGGAACATGAACAGAGGAGATCTCCCCCAGAGATCAGGATCACTGCCATAGCTGCTTTAACAGATGGGGACAGAATCCAGACTTTTGGGCACAGCAGCCCAAGACACTTGTGTGTTATGATGTCACAGAACAGCCTTTCCTTGCTGAGGAGTCATCCCCTCTCCTGCAGGAGGAAATGTGTGTCCAGGGCTGCTGAGGGGTGCAGAGCCAGACCCACAGCCCTCAGGGGGCTGCAGGTACACACAGGTGCCCACTGGCCACCCTGGGCTGTGTCCTGGACCATTGGTCAGCCCAAATGCCAGGGGGAAGGTGAGTCCTTACAGAGTCTGGACCCAGCTTTGGGTTTCACCCTTCCCTCAGGTCTCTCACACCACTGCAGACTGGTGGATCCCAAACTCTTCACCATCACCAGCTCCTACCCCAGGGTACATTCCTTGGACAGGACTTCCTCCAACAGAGCTGCAGAGTGACCTGGATATTAAAAAACCCAAACCAAACCTACAACCATCTGAAACCAGACTCTGGTTGGCAGTCCTGGGTTCCTCTGCATAAAGGATGAGAACATGAACATTTGTGCTACGAATTCAGCTTTTATCCATACTGGATCACCATGAGATTCCAGCCAACACCTTCACTGGGTCCCAGGCTGGGAAAGCCAAAACCAGCAGAGAGACACAAGAGCTGAAAGAAAGCAGACAGTCTGAATTCTGTGTATGTAAAAGAGTTTATTGGAGTAAACAATATTATATTTACAGGGATAAATCCAGCATGGGATCATCAGGGCAAGGCAGTCCTGGCCCTTCACTCTTCCTTAAAGGTGCATCTCTCTGTCCCTGCTCAGTCTGTCTGTCCTGCTGAGGCTGGGAGCCCAGTGTGGTCCCTGGGGCCAGCCTTACCCTGCCTCACTGCAGCAATTAATTCAAACCCTTTTTCCACAGCCAGAGCTCCCAAACTCACTGAGGCTCTGACAGAAGAACGGGGAGAACAACCCTCAAACACACTCAACTCCAGGGAAGCAAATTCCCCCAGCACACAGAAACACTTCCTGGATGTTTTCCCTCCTGACATCTCTGTCTGTTGCTGTCACTTGTACCTGCATGGATCGGGACAGGGGAACAGCCCCAGTGTCCCAGAGCTGAGGCACAATTTTATAGAGTTTATGCTTTGAAATGTGCAGGAACTGTTACCAGCTACTTCTGCCTCCTTTTTCAAAACCATCTCAACACAAGGCATGAACTTGAAGGTAGAAACTTCATCTCCTCTAGGTGAAAGCAGAGATTTACATGCAAGTTACTGATCCAGCCTGCCTGGGAGAGAGGATTGGGAACTTGCAGCCCTGGGTGACTGAACAAACACAGCATCAACCATCAGGAACGATTTGCAAACAACTGAGCAGCAGACAAATGTGCAAACGTATCGGTGGCTACTTCTGGGTAATGAATGCATAATCTATTCCCACTCCCCTTCCTATCTGCGTCTGGATAATGTGTCTGGGAGCCTGAGTCAGGCTCACAAATGGCTGGCAACGAGCAGAACAGGCTGTGTTTGAGCCAAACATTATGTTCAACAAATAAGGAGCAGTTTTGCCATGGGCAGCTGCTGTTAGAGCCCAGTGTCAGAATCCCTCCCATGCTCCACAATTCCCATCCTGCCCACAACAGCTCTGTGGGCTGCAGGATGCACAACTGACTTTTGCCTCTAAAATCTAAACAGCAGAGTCTAAAAGAGCATGATTGTATTCCTTCCCCACCTCTCTGCTCATTAGAAGGTGGCTCTTACATTTATTTGCCTCAGCTGCTGGGAAGGCTCCAAAAATGCTAATTACAAGGCCATTGCAGTAAATTGCATTTGCTGACATAAATCTGAGTCACTGGCTCAGGGCATTTTCCTTTCTCTTCCCTGGAGCAACTCATTTAACAAAGGTGAGGAAAAGCAGGAAAAAATTGGCAGGCTCTTAGTGCATGAGACTTAACAGGGAGCCAGCATTCCCAAAGTGCTGTGACTTCTGGGGGAGGCAACTCCTCCTGGCAGTGGTGACAAACTGGACCCTGAAGGTTTTCCAGTCATTTTGGGAAATGCTGCTGACTGGCCATGGAGTTCTGGAGCAGGAGGAGAGGAGCCTGAAACCACTGGGAGTCTTCCCATGGCTGCCCTGCAGCAGCAAATTCCATTTTCCCCCTGGGAAATCTTCTCTCCACCCACTCAGCCTTTGGGGAAGAAGACAGAAAAGTCACTTCATGGTGTTGGGTGGCAAAAGCCTCGTCCCAGTTTGGGCTATCCCACTGCTCCATGGTGCCTCCTCCCCAGGCAGGGATGAATTCCCAGAGGGAAGGGGCTCATTCCCTCTCAGCCGTGGAAAGCTGCAGGATGCAGATCCCTGGAGGATGCTCTCCGTGTGGGAGGTGCTGCAAACCCTGAGGGGTGGCTGCCTCTGTCCCAGCAGTGTCCCCGGGCTCCCAGCAGTGTCCCCGGGCTCCCAGCAGTGTCCCCAGGCTCCCAGCAGTGTCCCCGGGCTCCCAGCAGTGTCCCCGGGCTCCCAGCAGGTCCCTGCTCAGGCTTTCCGGATGATCCTTCCCGCTTTCCTCCAGTCCCGGTACCTCTCCCTGCGCACGGAGTGCACCAGGGGCCTGCAGAAGCTGGAGGGGGCTGATCTGCTGCTGCTGCTGCTGAGGAACAAAGCAAGAACAAAGCAAGACATCGTCAGTGCCATGGGACAGGGCTGGGGCACATCTGCACCCAGTGCAGGCTCCTAAAAGGACAGCGAATTTTGGTTCACCACCACTGTTGCCGAGGGATCAAGTGCTGGATCCTGCTGCAGCCCCTGGTGCTCAGGGTGGGCAGAGAATCAGGGCTGAGCCTCTCCTGTGGCCCTGATGGGTGATGGGAACCTTCCCTGCACCTGGAAAGAGCTGCTGAACTACGGGTGCAGCTCAGAACCCCCTAAATAGAGCCCCATAAACCCCATAAATCCCCTAAACAGAACCCCATAAGCCCCATAAACAGAACCCCGTAAGCCCCATAAACAGAACCCCATTATTTGAGCAGTTTTCCTTCAAACCCCGAAACCAAACAATGTGCACTCCTGGCACTTCTTTGGGATTTTTGCCACCCTGGGTTCTCTCAGGGGGTGATCCTGGAGGTGAACCAACATTCCATGAACCCAGCCCACCACAATTCACCACACCCCATGCAGAGATGGCCGGGACAGTGTCACAGAGCTGGCTCAGCTGCAGGAGCAGTGGGATTGTGTTCACCTGGAGCTCCTCTGGGATAACTGAACACTCAGACCCACTTGCCCTGGGCATTTCTCCCCTCCCTGGGCACTGGGTC